AGGGGTGAAGGAGAGAGATGGGGCGGGGGAAACTAAAACTGAAGGGTATTTTCTGAAAGGGCCGCTGTGTAATTAAGAAAATTTAACAAAATTAATATCAAATATAAACTTATATGTTTATATTTGATATAAATAAATATAACGATTATCTAATCTAGCAAGGACCTATATTTTTATGTTCAAAAACACATGCGTATACACACGTACACAATAACATATACACGTACATACATACATATAGGCGTGTACCCACATACACACATACATATACCCATGTACACACACATACATATATCCATATATATATATATATATATATATATATATATATATGTGTGTGTATATTTACCACTAATATATACATATGTATATTTACTACTAATATTATATATATATAATATATATATATATATATATATATATATATGTTAGCTCTATCTCTGATGTTGAGCGCTTTTTAATAAATACCATGCATATAATATATAAATAATTATATATATATATACATACATTTTCACACACACACACACACACACACACACACGCGCACACACACACACACACACACACACACACACACACACACACACACACACACACACACACACACACACACACACACACACACACACACATATATATATATATATATATATAAAGATTTTTATGTTTATACATTCTATTTATAGATACAATTATTCAAGTAAAAGCTCTGTTTATAATAAACAGTATTAAACGACATTTACCGGCCTGAATCGAAACTCTGTCCTATATGGAATGTATAAAGAATGTATAAATATGTAAAATAATTGTCGGACTTTATATATATATATATATATATATATATATATATATATATATATATATATATATATATATATATATATATATATATATTATTTGTATTTTTGTGAGTATATACAGGGTGGCAATAAAGTCACTATACATTTAGTTAAAATAATTAAAAAAAAAAAGAAGCATTGAAACATGTAGCTTGAAGTTCGAATAGTATCGGTAATTAATTTACTATTGTTTACTCTAGCATTTTATTGTTATTAACCAGAATTAATCTGAACCATTTAAATAATAAATTTCTGGACTGTTGATTAATTGTTTTGTCTTAATTGTTACAGTAACTGTATAGTGACTTTATTGCCACGCTGTATGTGTGCATATACACGTAAGTGTATTTATGTATGTGTATGCACGTATGTTCTCGCTTTTACTTTATTTCATCATAGTGAGTGGAAGTCAAGTTATGCAGCCATGAGATTAAAGACACGCAAAAGAAATCTTTTGCACATGCGTGTTTGGATTTTTTAAGAAAAATTTGTGGGTTCCAAGAAAATGTCGATCATTAATGACTGTTTCATTGTTCTATTGAAACTCTCTGTGTTTTGTTTAATTTCAAAAGGAAAAGATAATTATAGAAGAAAGCGCTGGACTATCATTGGTGAGAATCCAGTCGTATCCACTGCAATAAATGATCAAAATTTCCCATGCATGTAATAAACTACAAGGTCACACACACCAATATGCAAGCCAGTAGAGCAAATGAACTACTGATTAAAATAAATGATGTGATCACTCAAATACGAGTGTCTACTTAAAATAAAACTTAAAGCAATAAAAATGTGCCGGCTTAAATTATTATTATTATTATTAATAATAATAATAATAATAATAATAATAAAACCCATTAATTCATTAGAAATTGCTTTGTCTACGTTTCCGATACGAAACGCAGTAGTTATGATATTGGAGACAATCTGAACGAATAAAGTGCTTTAAAGTTGAAGCTTGTCGTAGCCGAGCCATCAAAGCACATCGGGTCAAATTGCGATAAATAAAAATTCTTTAGGGTGAGATGGAACAAAAGAATGATAACAAAGAGGATGCAGTGGAAAATATTTGTTCATTCCTTTTAGTCCTATGTAAGTAAACCATGTTTGTATGCACAATCAACGAAGATTGAAATGGATAAGGAGAAAATAAGAAGATACATAAAAGGTTTGAGAGCAAAACAGAGTCATGGTATAATGAATAATGTCAGCTGTTGTGATCTCTTCAATTTCCACGAGTCCAAACATCATTATTATATTTTTACATGACGTCTTTTTAGGAGATAAACTACATCCCACATTAAGGCGTCTGGTCTGGACATTAGAGGTTTTGAGGAACGTAGAATCACCTCATAATTGTGGTTGTTCCCAGCTCCCCCTTAATTCAGGATGGGAGTGCCTAGTTATAGGCAAATAACAAAATACTATGAAATTATAAAAATATATTTTTATCGTAAAAATACGAGCAAGCAATACATTTTATATAAAAAAAAATTACCAACAATAAATATTTATAGTAAATATTACCAATAATAATTATTTATATATAGAATTACTAACAGTACATTTTATTGTGAAATGACCAAAAATACGTTTTACCTTTGATTTAAGGCATATAATTGTTACGGTTTTTTGGGCATATAATGCACCTGTAACTAGTGAGCGAGTCAGAATGACTTATTTCCCTTTATAGTCGACCAATGGAAGGTTGACCAATCAGAAGCCGCCCAACACTGTATTCGTCGTGTATAAAGGCGGCCATCTTGTTTCCTCCTACCGGAAGAACCAAAGGCGACCAGGAGAAGGATGAACTACACTCTGTTGTGATATCCACTGCGAACCTAAAGTACGCTTTCCTACTGTCTCCGAAATATTCACTGCCAACCTCTAGATTCGATACTCAAGGACGACCGTCATGGAAATGTCTAACAATAATTGCATTCAAAATATGTAGATTTCAGCATTAAATAACTCATAGAGGTGTTGACATGCCGCTAAACAAAATCATCCTAACCTTCAGGACATAGGCTCGTTATGCATTTTTTCATAACTTTGAACTGCCATGACTTCTCGGGAAGTATAGTCGAGTGGTTTCCCGTTGTCTTCTCCAGTTTTGCTTTCAGAGCACTGTTTCTCCTAGACTGGTTTCAAACTGAGACGTAAGCTCAGTCTACACCGTTATTTAACCCTCAGAAGTGGGCAGGTTTGCCTATCGACCGGTTTACACTGATTACTCGTCTTTTAAATAGGAGTACAGGTTTATCCCTTGTTTCTTGTTTGGGCTGGGGTTCTTTTTCCTAAAGTGCTCTTTTTTTCACTCCTTGTAAAGCCCTTGTGTATAAGTGGCTTTATTGCCTTCCTTGGGTGAAATGATTAAAGAAAAATAGCACGAGGATCGGGGAGAAAAAACGGTTTCGCACCTTTCTCAAAGGGAGCAGTGCAAGGGCGCACGTAACAGAAAAGGCTGGAATTTGAACACTGTTCGCCGATTCCATTCTTCGTGCTGGTAACTGTTACTTTACCTGGACTGTCAATGTTAATTGTAATAAAAATGTCCAAACTCATTCAATAAAGACAATGAGACTGGTCATGGGCTAATATTAACATTTCATAATCTAACCTACCGGGTGTAACAGCAAAATTGTCCAAATCGTGTAACAGTACAGGTTAATTGTCCATCCCACAAAATGTTTAATGTCTAAAAAAACAAAAAAAAAACAAAACAAAAAAAAAAAAAGCAAGCAAAAAAAACAAAAAAAACCCCACTAAACTGATTAAGTTACTTTTTTCCAGGTTTTCAGATAAGACGTTTAGCCATCTGGACACCATTTTTCGTAAGAATCACTGAAAAACTATTTGAGTTATTCAGCTAGAAAGAGAACAGATTAAAATCATTTGGTGCCATGTCTTTCCAACTGAGCAATGGTGACAAGAAAAAGGTCATTCAGGCTTTCAGTAATGATACCAACATTCATACTCTGGCTTCCATCTTTAAAGTTAATTCAAGAAACACCAAGAGAACGGGGAATAAGTTTAAAATGCGGGAACAGTAGAGTTGAAAACTGAATCAGGACGTTGCAGCAATAAGAGGGATCCTCATTTTAACTTAGAGCTAAATATTCGGAGAATTCCAGTAAGATATCTTTAATCATTTCTAATATACAATCTTTCAAAGCTTAATCTAACTACTCGACAATTTTGTTTCTACAACCGGTACAATGACACTAGAAGTCGAGGAAAAAAAAACACAACGTCGAGATAATGGAAAAAAAATGCACAGAAAAATTCCTAAAATAATGTTCTGATTTTATAGTGGACAACGTACACAGATCTTTTTAGACGTATGTTCACTGGCTTACAATAACGGTACCCATGCACGTCATCTTCCCGCGAGAGAGTTTAAGTAATTAAACTAGAAGCGGAAACAGTGAAAGAAGTAGGTTCCCGCCTTAAAAGTGGGTGTGACTCCTACAGTCAGTACATTTTGGAAAGTGTGAGAATGAAGTCAGTATTTTTGAGAACGACGCACTTTGTGCTGCTTGGAATGGTTCATGGTAAAAAAAAAAAAAAAAAAAAAAAATAATGGCAGGTTTGGCTAAACGATTTTCTAGCAGAAAATTAACTTCTCTTAACTGCTATGTAAATCTTTTGCGATCATTCCATATATTCAAGTCAGGATAATTTGAAAATGACACGCTTTTTTTTCTTTGTTTTTTTCTCACTCTATACAAGGCTCAAGAGCCACTGATGGTAGAAGATCACTAAATGAATTGTGCGCTAGAATGAGCCGACCAATTTCCCGAGCATCTTTGGTCACGGAAGCTAACCAAAATAATTGGAAATCTGCCGAGAACCAATCTCACAAGCAATAAAACCCGATTACACTTAAAGGTTTGAGGTTATTGGCACACCCTGTCTGAGACAATAGCCGCTAAATCACAGGGTTATTCATCTTCTGCCATTTGCTTTCAAGATTAAGGCGATCATATCTGTCTACAACACCCGTTTCTTTTAATATCTGTGAATTACTAAGGCATCTCGGGAAAAAGACTTGCCTTTTCCACAATTTTGAATTCAGAGTAACTCTCCTTTTCGAATGACTGCCATCCAAAGCTACAGATCCCAGTCTACCTTCTTATTTTACTTATAACTGTGGACTTACGGCCATATCACGTTGAAACACCGATTTCCATACGATCACCGGAATTAAGCAATGTCGAGCCTGGTCAGTACTTAGATGTGTGACCGCTTTGTAATACCAGGTGACGTAAGCTTGGATATACGGGTGGTGAGATATTCACTAACCGCCCCACGCGGTCAAATGTGGAACAAGGCCGAGTTTAATGTGGGGTATCCGATCACGTAGGCTCGGCCAAAAATTCCCCGTAGACCCCGTGAAAAACAGAGTCGGGTAGCTGTCTCCCGAAACGAGACTCTGCCCTTCGACATAGCCTTATCTGGAGAGCCTCTCTGCCCAGAGTCAGAGAGTTTGACCAACACAGTTTCGAAGTAATCCGGATAATGTGGGTGGTGAAATGGTTAATGGCAATATTAATCGGAGATCCGAGTTTTAATCCTAGTTGGGTTCATTATATTCACGTCCGCGCAAATATCTTTGGAAAATGTATGAATCCACCTCTTCTCTCCCAAGCTATGGGTTAATTAGTAATTAGTGTGAGCAAATCATTATTATCCCTGCAGAATTCTTACAATGTAAAAATATATCTTGGCTTTAAATAACTTGCAAAGTGTTGACAAACCGTAAAAAACGAAGCAATCAATCAAACATAAGTGTGGCGCGGGGGAGAAATGTTGCATTCATCCTTTTTTTCAAGGGAATTTGTGCAACATTGTTCACAAAAGCCGACGCAAGAATTCGAACTGTGTTCGCGGTATCCATATTTCCGCTACGCTACACACACACACTCTACCTTGGCTCAAAATGAATAAAACAAAAATAAAAACAATGTTTATATTTATGAACCAGTCGGGAAGACAAATAAGTCCGTAGAAACCCCCAAGCCGAGGGTACATTTTAATTTCGTAGATAGAAACACGCGTTCTTAATTAATTCGAGAATTACCGATTATTGAACTCGATGGATTTCAGAAACTCAGTTGTAGAGAGAGACAAAAAGAGAGTGAGATAGAAAGATAGTCTAGTAGTGAGGGAGGATAGGCAGAAAACCGAGAGAAGAAAAAGAGAGTGAAAAGAAATAGAGAGAGGTAAAGAGAGACAGAAGAGAGAAAGAGAAAAGATACCCCCCCACGTTAAATTTTTATTTATTTTTTTACAACGCTAAAAATTGGATTGTTTGCCAGAGAATTTAAAAAAAAAAGAACATGAAAGGTAGCAGTTATACCAATAATTACTGGAGTACTTGGAATAAGTGAAACAGCATAACTAATGAAACAATCCAGCAATGGCATTACTATAATCAAAAAAGGATGATAGACTTTTAGCAAGCTTGCTGTCGCTTGACTGATGTAGGAACCACAAATACTTCTGGTGTGAAAACTCATAGAATAAAAAATAACCATGACGATACACTTTGACCTCTTTCAACTTCTGAGGCATCTTGTTATTCTTATATTTTTTCGACACTCCCTACACAAAATAAACCCCCAAAAGTCAAAATGTTAACCAGTCTTTTCTCCCACGGCATAGACCACCCACAAATCATTACACCATTCGCCTTTCTCTTCACTAAAGAATCCAACGATATCGCCGACCACTTGGATCCATAAACCTGGTTTCCTGTCAGGGCCCAAATTAAACATCTGTTTTGTTGCCATTGCTAGATTCTCTGCCGGGTTAGCAAAATGTCTTGGGGGGAAAGACTTCACACTGCTGGAGATAAAACTTTAAATAAACTACTTGTTTGTGTAAGCGTTGATCTTACCCGGAAGATTAATTAAACAAAGTTTTCAAAATGTTAATTCAGCTTAACATTTCTTATTCTTCTACGCGCCATGTTCCTTAAAGCAGGTTGGCAATCATGGCTCTCCACGATTTCCTGTACTTTGTAGCTCTTAGTAAAGTTTGTCTCTTTACTATATCTCCTGAATCCCGTTCTGCCAAACATGTACACGTTAGGTAGATTATACACTGCTTCACTGTGTTCCTTATACGAGGGTGGGCTGAAAAGTTCATAAGTACAAATCTTGCATGCATTAATTTCAACTCTTCTTATAAATAACTGTATTGTTTCTTTACAGCTAGACTGACATCTGACTGTTCAAAGACGACTTCAAATGTAACAAGCACCGAATTCTCTTGAAAACGGACAAAATTTGGCATCGTGAGTTCATCAAGTACCCGCAGAAGAAGGGTTTAACGCCAAGGGGATTCATACTGAGATCGTTGATGCATAAGGGCATGACGCTCCAGATGTATAAAGTGTGCAAAAGTTGGAAGCTGAATTTCGGAGGGGAAGTGAGTGTCTTGAAGATGACCTAAGGTGTGAACGTTCTACGACTGGCACCACCGAGGAAAACATGATGGTGTTCAATATACGGTGATGGATGACAGGCGAGTGTCTATAAATCAAATAAATAATGCTATTAACATATCCCGTGAAAGAGTTGAGAATATTTTGCACAATGAACTTGGAATGACAAAGGTTTCTTCCAGGTTGGTGCCACGACTTCCGACACCTTATCAAAAGCGCACCAGGTTGAGGCCGATTCAGATGATTTTCTTGAACGTTTCCTAACCCAGGATGAGTGGTGGTTTCATCATCACTTCGATCCAGAGACAGAGAGAAAAATCTATTCAATGGAACTAACCTTTCTTACCTGCTCCAAAGAAGACCAAGGTCGTTTCATCTGCAAGGAAGCTGATGGCCTGAGTTTATGTTTTATACTAACTTACTGAGGTACTTGATCACCTTCCCTATTCTCTTTATTTGACTATCATCTGTTCCCCAACATGAACAAATACTTGGCTTGGAACGAATATCACCGTGATGATGGCGTCATATCTGCTATTGATCAGTTTTGTTTTTTTTAACCAAGAAGATGACGAGTCTTTCTTGAACATTCAGATGTCGTTTTGCCTGGAAGGAAACAACACAATTATTAATAAGAAGAGCTGAAATTAATGCATGCAAGATTGCACAACACGAGCATCACATCCTCATAGCCTATGAACTTTTACCCGCACCCCCCTATGTCCTGTGGGTGGGAAATTTTCTAAGCCTCCTTTCCTCATTACGTACACTCGAAATTTCAAGTACTGCTTTTCGATGCTATTTGTAAGGGTCCATTTTCATACCATTTTCTCTCCTGTGAGTATCAGGTTAACGAAGCCCTCCCTCCTCGTTTCGTGCCCCAGAAATTTCGACTGCCACGGCAAAATGTAAGAACAACTTAAAGAAGCGTGTTCGTAGAAAGCGGAGAACGTGACCACCAAGATGAGATGTGGTATTTGTCCATTTAGTTTCTATATTCTCTCCTGTGAGTATCATGTTTCCCAAGTCCTGCTTCCTCGTTCCGTGCTCAAGAAATTTCAACTGACTCGGCAAAATGAAACAACTAAAAGAAGCGTGTTCGAAGAAAGCGGATCACGCGACCACCGAGATGTCGTTTTCCATATTCTCTCCTGTGAGTATCAGGTTTCCAAAGCCCACCTTTCTCGTTCCAGACACCAGAAATTTCAAATGCGTCGGAAAAATTGAAGAAGTATTAAAAGAAGCATGTTCGGAGAAAGCGGGGCACGCGATCACCGAGATGAGTGGTTGTACTTGTCCATTTCGTTTCCATTTTCTCTCCTGTGAGTATCAGGTTTCCCAAGCCCTTCTTCCTCATTCCGTTCCCCAAAAATTTCAACTGCCTCAGCAAAATGAAAGAACAATTAAAAGAAGCGTGTTCTTAGAAAGCGGAGCACGCGACCACCAAGATGAGAGCAGGAAACAAAGGATACAATTCTACTCATGTTCAAAAGACCGGGGAGGCGTATAAACCGGGCGATAGGCAAATCTATCTACTCCTACTGAGAAGAAATAAAATCAATTATAAATACAATTTCAGAATTGTGGCAGAAACGTTAGAAGTCTAGAGTTGAAGTAGATTTTAGCAGGAACCAGAAACTCAATTCTAAACTGGAAACAAGTGATAAACCTGCAAACTTATTCAAAAGGCCTAGGAGGAGTGTGAACCGGACGGCACGGCGAACTTAGCTTCTTTTGATTTTTAGGGTTGAATCTACAGATTACTTATCTCTATTAAGCAAGAACATCTATGTTAGACGAGATATAAGAGGCATGCTTGGATATAAATAAATATTATAAATAATTATAATATACACCGTTATGCAAATTAATTGAAACAAAACGAATAATTCCATTATCATTGACTTTTTTTAAAAAATATTTTTCCAGTGACACATGACCCAGCGCACATGTTAGTACTTAGTATGTTCATTCTACGAAGTCGTTACTTGCAGATTGACCACAGATTCTCGATTGGATTTAAATCAGGACAGTTTCCGGGCCTGTCAACAATACTTTGATTTGCTCACTGGTAAGGCTCGCCAGTGTGTTTGTGCAGCGTTACAAATTTTCGTGTGTTTCCTTGGAGTAACGTCCATCGCAGACAATGGTCATAGGACAACTAATCGACAGTCGAGACAATAGTGTCTGGGCGGGATGAAAATCTGATGCAATCACTGATGACGCAACATATTTCAAGGCCAAGAAAATTTCATCATACACCCCGAAAATAGATTCATATTACTGCACACCACTACAAATGACCTAATCTGAGATAAAAAAAATAGAAATCGATTACACCCTGTCACACTAGTGTGTCCAAAACTGACTGTGTGGTGAAAGAAAGGAAACTAAATCGCTAGTTTCAATTAATTTGCACAAGGATGTAAATATTAATAAATTTGTATTTATTGAATGTAACTATTTTAAATAATTTCTAGGTTTTTGAGCGAACAAATTGTGTTTAGCTTTATATATTAGATGTGATATTCTGCCTCAAATGAGCAAATTTTCAAGTTTTGTTTTATGAGATAACTATGTCTTTGAAGTGGGAAAAAGTTGCATATGTTTAACTGTCTGGGCTGTGAGATTTTGCGTCATAGCTTTTACTGCTTCAATATTCTTCGTTGTAAACATGTGCCGGGCTGCCTTGCCAATTTCTGAAAAGAGTAATGCCCAGTTACATAAGGGACTGGCTTATTCGTATCGTAAACAAAATACGCGTTCGTATTCAATGATGTCTGGCATTCTCATCGACATCTTTATTGTTTATTTTAAAAAA